CTTTCCTTTCCTTTCAAATTTATACTCTAAATTTGATATGGTAGTGGTAGATTATGACCTAGATAAAAGAACAATACTAGATTGCATTGTACTATTTAGGTGGATATTTAAGTTATGTTCATGTATCAGTTAGGATATAGAGATTATTGTCTTTGGAGAAAACAATCAAAGTAACTATTAATATAAATGACTCAGAACCCTATATCTTGAATCTCTCTCTCTCTCTCTCTCTCTCTCTCACACGCACACACACACACACACACACACACACACACACACACACACTTTGTATTAGATATCTCTGTATTCCTTAAGATGCCCCAAACTCCAAATGTTAAATGTCAGAACTCATAAATTTCCACCACTAAACCCACTTTTTCTTTCATCTTGTCGCCTCTCTATCTTGTACCCATTCAGGAGTCCTACATGTCTATGTACCTCCTTCTCCAATGTCATACTGGGGTTTTTAAATTCCCAGTGTGGGCATATGCCCTTGAGTTAACAACAGCACAGGGGCCCCTACAGCAGCCACACCTCCCTGCTGTGGGTTTTACTGCCTAGGTATCACTCTAAATGAAGTTTTAATTACAATTTTCCACTTACTATCATCATTCTATTGCTCTTGATAAAGACAATAATCATAGAATGTTGTCTTTGTTTGGTTATATTTGACTGTGACTATGTGGAGGTGAGCCCAGCACCTTTATTCTATAACCATACTGCCAGTGTCTTTTTTTTTTTTAAGATTTATTTATGTATGCATACAAGAACTGGGATACAAGCAAAGGTGTGGGCAGTGACAGTATTTACCAGAAACAGAATGGGGAACAGAACAGGCAGACTGACTGAAATACACTGCTGAGGGGAGCAGTGGGAGAGACAGAAGAGGTCCACTGTGCCATGTGGGTCACCTCCCTGGGGTTCAAACTCATTCTGCAGTTGCTTTGGATAGCTTCATAGGGCTGTGCTTCAACCCATTGTAGCACCAGGGAGGGCCTCTGCCAATGTCTTTAGCAATCTTTTTAAAATGGAATCTGCAAACAAAAATCCCAAAATATATGAAGAAACCTAATGTTAAGAACCTAATAAAACCATCAGGAATGAATTCCTTATGAAAGAGTATAATTAAAACTAAAAGACTAGCCACACACAAGAGTCATTATTTGCAAAAACCAGTCAAGAATTAGAGTATGTAAATATCTCCTACAGATCTATTAAAAAAAAAGATAAATAGCTAAGTTGGAAATATGTAAACATAGAAATACAATTAACAGAAGAAACAAATAGTCAACAAACATAAAAACTTTCTACTTCTAACAGTTAACTAAAAACACAGTTGTATGGTAAACACAATTGCATACCCACTATGTTGGCAAAAGTCAGCAAGCCTAACAAAACCAAGTGTAGAGAGGTTGTGGGAAAAAAAGAAAGGTTTTCATATATTACTGATGGGAGCATAATTGGAGTAGCTACTTTGGAGAGCCATTTCAACCCAGCAGTTTCAGAAAATCTTGCATCGTTACCAGACGATATATACAAAGAATATTTTATGCAATAATTTGTAGTAGTGAAAAATGAGAAACATGCTAAATATTTCTCTAGAGAAAAATAAATACATTATTTCATATGACAAAGTGTTTAAACAAGTCTGACTTGGATAAATATCAAAAATATTGCTTTTGAATAAAAGATAGGAAGTCATTTGAATAAAACTATTTAAATAAAGATTTAAAACATGAAAAGCAATATCACTAGCTTATCGATACTAATATTTGTAATAAATAAAAACATTAAAATGTTTACTGTAATGATAAGCACCAAATTCAAGATCGTAGTCTCTGAAGAGGAATAAAAGGTAATGGAAGAGGAAGAACAGGAGGAAGTATCAGCCATATCTGTTTATGATTTATTTCATTATTTTCTTTAAGTATAGATATCTTTTTAATGTAAGGAAACTCAGGAAAGTGATTATTTATAGCATTCCAACTAGTTTTTACTTTTACCTGTTCCTGCCTTTGCTCTCTCCTTAATTTACTACTGGCTGAACTTTATATTTTATGTGTAAATACAATCTTTCAATCTTACATGCCCACTATCATGGGCCAGTTTAGCTGCCACTCAGACATCCATGTTTTGCTGCTTCCCTCACATTGGAAAACTAAGCTTAGCAAACACTTACTGAGCATTTACTTTGTACACTAATCCAAGTATTTTACAAATGTTATCTTTGTTATTTGATAGGCAGAATAGCCCGGGGTACTATGATTCCTATTTTATGGTTGAGGCAATAGATAGGAAGGCAGATAATTTAATCTAATCTATAAAAATTTTCCAGGGGGAGCAAAGATGAACTCTATGTCAAAGAGCATTGTAATAAGTGCAACTGTCTTTCTATTCTCTGCTTCAAAACAAGATTCCGTGAATGTTTGTCATAAATGAACAAACACATATTATCACTGAGGCATACCTTGTTTTGTGTTGGTAGAATACCCAGAATAATGTAAAATGTAAATATGTCAAGTGCTGTTTTGTAAATCAGTAGTCATCTCCCCTTATATATCTAGCTCTCTACAAAGATATATATGTTGCATTTTTATCCTTCCCTTTTCCTCTAAATTTCAGAATTCAAATGATTGATTGAATATCTTTAAAGATCATGATGAGTTATTCTGTAATATTTGAAATGTTTTACTCTGAAAGGTCAGACCTTATTTTCTGGTTTCAAGTACCATGTAGATTTGTTTTTCCTGGACACATTTCCTTTTTTCAAAGGAAATCTGGCATGAGATTTAGAGCAGGGTGCCCTCTTGAGGAAATGTTAGCACTTTCCTTCTCAAATGCTGGTATTGAACAAAATGTAAAGTCCAGGTGATATACACTATGAGTGAAGCATTAATGGTTTTACAATATATGTGGGCCAGACCATTACGCTGTACAACTTATACATATACAATGATATATATGAATTATGTCTCAATAAAACTGAAAAAAAATAGTAAATATCAGATATCTAAGAATTCAGATTCTTAGCTATTATGATATAGCGACACTAAATAAGAATTTTTGAATTAAAAAAACACTAGAAAATACTTCATTTTCTCATATTCACTCAATACTTCAAGTAATATTTATTTAGTACCTGTTTTATTTATTGTTTGTTTGTTTTTTGCCAGCAACTGGCCAGCACTATGATCAATAAAACATAGCCTCTGCTGTGTAAGGGAGTGCACAGTTAAGGGAAATAAATATATATGTAGTTGAAAACTGAGAAAAGTACTATAAAGGAAATTAACAAATACTAGAATACAGGCTAACAAAGCAAGTTCCATTAGGGTGGCTAAGGAAATAATCTTAAACTTTCAAGTATAGAAATAATTAAGCTGCATCTGCTTGCTTTTCAGGCCATCCCAAGTCTGCCCATCTAGTATAAACAGTCTTATGGACCCCTTTTCTTAACCTGTTCTTATCTCTTCCCCAACCCTCAAGCTGAGCTGCAACCTGTATCTGTCTCGTGTACAAGTGGATGAATCTCATCCTCCTGTCCTTCATTGTTGCTCTAGCTAGTCCCCTTTGCCATAGGGCCTCACATCCTTCATGGTGGGGGCCAGTGGCGAGGAGGAATGGTTGGGGAGATATCTGCTTAATTAGCAAATGTCTTCACTAATGCTGATAGCTCCTCAGAGTAGAACATCAGTGCATTGTAGTTCCGAAAGGCCTCATTTCCAAAAAACTTAAGGATGCGGAGGGTCTCAAGATAAAAGAGCCACTGTGCTTTGAATAGAGCTAGATAGGTATGAGGAAGGAAAAGAACTTTATCATGCAATAGATTGATCATGATGACTTCAGAGGGTATTGTTTTGTTTCAAAGTTCCCAAATTTCAGAGATATACCATATAATGATTGATCTGAATTCACACAGTGTATTGTGCTAGCCATCGTAGACTTATTTCTCCATACGGGTTGATTCTACCAGTTTGGAAGGTTTAACAGACGTGGAGAGTATTACATGCAAGTGAATGGCCTCCAGTGACTTCTGGGTTGGTGTGTGGACTTCATGAGTCTGAGATCCAGACTATGAACAAGCTTCTTCTATCTTAGCTGTACCTGTAAATATCTCTCTTCATGAAAATCAACCAATTACCCCTTATTCACCAGATGTCTTGAATGAAACAGCCCATTTTTCTCACCTATATATTAGGGTTGTAAGTCTCTGCTTATTTTAGAAGATCATTATATTTTGAATACAAATATTATTTGCTATGTTGGTAAAAATATGCCAAAACCAACACATTCATACTTTACTACTACTTGATAGCAATTTGGAAAATACACATATTCCTTTATTCCAGTAATTGGGTTCCACATAATATACTCCTGTGAAAAAATTAAGAAAAAAAAAACTATGGAAAAAATGAACATTGTAGCTTGTATTGTAAAAGGAAATACTGGAAATAATAATAGAATATATAAATAGGTCCCCTCCTTGGTGGTGCAACGTGTTAAAACACAACACTGTGAAGCTGTTGCAGCACCACAGCATGAGTTTGATCCCTGGCCAGGGAGGTGACCTGTGTGGCTCAGCAGACTTCTCCTGTCTTGCCCACTGCTCCCCTCAGCAGTGTACCTCACCCATCTGCCTGTTCTGCTCCCCGCTCTGTCTCTGGTGAATCCTCTCACCCTCCACATCTCTGGCCTGGACCCCAGTTCTATATGTATAAATAAATAAATGTTTAAAATATATATATATATATATATATATATAATATGTTGCTTTAACCCAATGAAATATCACTGTGTAAAATATATGTATATAAAAAGCAGTTGGAAGGAAACATGAAAAATGAAACAATTCATAGTATAAGAAAATTTTAAATGTTTTTGCTCTTACTAATTCATCTGAATATTAGTACTCTAGTAGACTAATTAAACTATTTAAAAATAAAAAATAAGATTGGCTCCAAACTAAATTTCTTCTTGCTTTCTCTCATTTCTTTCTTCAGGGAAATTATCGTTTTATGAAACTCCTACTTACACGTAGAGCAAACTGGATGCAAAAGGACCTGGAAGACATGACTCCTTTGCATTTGACCACTCGACACAAAACCCCCAAGTGTTTGGCACTTTTGCTGAAGTTCATGGCACCAGGAGAAGTGGATACACAGGATAAAAACAAGGTAATGGACCATCAAAATTGAAGGCAAATCAAAGAAAAAAGCAAATGCTTCTTTTATGATGTGAAACTTCAAGGGAGAAGGCCTAAATTACCATCAGTGCCTTAGTAAGGCGATTTCAAGTTTCCAGAGCCTGTGGTAAAACATTTCACTTATACTGTGTCATTTTATCCTCCTCACAGCCGTGCCTGTAGTGGGTTCTTTCTTTTTTTACCAATAGGGATATTGAAGTTCATAAAGATTAAAATTCTGCCAATGATTCAAGTGGCAGGATCAGAATTTTAAACCTAGATATGACTAGCTCTAAAAGCCAATGTTTTATAGCCATCAGTTGCAATGTTTACTAAAAGTATTAAGACAAATGACCAGATGCCCAGAACTATGCACTGACTACAGAGTGGTTTAATGCCCGGGCTTTGGCATCAAATTTCTTGACTTTTAATTTAGAAGCCACCACTTAATTTGTTTTTTGTTCCTGGGCAAATTACTTTGATTCCTCAATGCCTCACTTTTCTCCTATGCAAAAGGGAATAATATATTGTTGAAGATATTATGAGATGATACATAGAAAGTATTTAGCACAGTGCCCAGTACATAGTATATACTCAATGAATAATAGCTATAATGGACCAGTAATTTTATGACATATACTGAAAATGAAAAAAATTAAATGAGCCCAGTTAACACTGAGCATAACTTGAATAGACATTTCTCCAAAAAATATATAAAATGGCTATTTCTTATTAAATTATATATAGAATTATCATTGCAGTTATTCCTTTTCTGGGTATATAGCAAAAATAACTGTAATCAAGAATTCAAACATATATATATATATACAATATATATATTGTATCTCCATGTTTACAATAGCATTATTAACAATAGCCAAAATATGGAAATAGCCCAAATACCCATTGACAGCTGGATAAACAAAATATAGTCGATTGTCAGCCTTTAAAAGGAATGAAATTCTGATGCATACCAAAACATGGTTGAACTTTTACAACCTTGGGTAAGAAATGCTTAGTGGAATGTCAGGCGCAAAAGGACAAATATTGTGTGGTACCATTGATGCATTATATATGAAATAGTCATTGAGATAGTAAATAGAATGATGCTTGCCAGGGTTGGAGGAGGTGGGAATTGAAGTTATTGTTAAATGGGTATGGAGGTGCAATTTGGGAGAAGACTGAGTTCTGGTGATGGCTGGGACCATTGGTTGCACACCAAAGGAATGTACGTAATGCTGCTGAGCTGTATACTTAAAAACTATTAAAATGATGATGTAGAAATAAACTGTTATAAAATAAAAAAGTTACTTTAAAAAAATTATTAAAATGGTACATTTTATGTCCCATACATTTTACTACAGTAAACTAAAAAAGAATTACTAGAAAAATAAATAAATATGTAAGAAATATAAACCTAAACTTTGTACTATTATATTCAACAGACATTGCATTTCAGTAATTATTTTCAA